GGCTGGCACCTTAGTCACTTGAGCCACAGGTGCTGAACCTATGCCTATCATTTATTGAGGACTTTACTGTTGCAGATGCTGTGCTGTTTCAGTTTTCTTTTTTAGAGACAGAGTCTTACTTTGTCACCCTTGGTAGAGTGCCATGGCGTCACAGCTCACAGGAACATCCAGCTCTTCGGCTTAGGTGATTCTCTTGCTCAGCCTCCTGAGTAGCTGGGACTACGGGCATCTGCCACAATGCCTGGCTATTTTTTTTTTTTTTTAGACAGAGCCTCAGGCTGTCACCCTGGGTAGAGAGCTGTGGCATCACAGCTCACAGCAACTTCCAACTCCTGGGCTCAAGCGATTCTCCTGTCTCCGCCTCCTAAGTGGCTGGGACTACAGGCACCCACCACAATGCCCAGCTATCTGGCTATTTTTTTTATTTTTTGTTGCAGTTTGGCCCGGGCCGGGTTTGTACCCACTACCCTCAGTATATGGGGCTGGCGCCCTACTCACTGATCTACAGGTGCCACTCTATTTTTTTTCTTTTTTTGAGACCGAGTCTCACTTTGTCACCCTTGATAGAGTGCCCTGGCTTCATAGCTCACAGCAACTTCAATCTCTTGGGCTCAATTTTCTTGCTTCAGCCTCCTAAGTAGCTGGGACTATAGGCGCCCACCACAACACCCGGCTATATTTAGATATGGGGTCTTGGTCTTGCTCTTGCTCACGCTGGTCTAAAACCTATGACCTCAGGTGATCCACCGGCCTGGGCCTCCCAGAGTACTAGGATTATAGGCATGAGCTACTGCACCTAGCCTTGTTTCAGTATGTTACATGCACCATCTCCTTTCTCCCTTGTCACAACCCTGGGAAGTCCAAAGGACTCAGAGAATTAGAGAACTTAAGTAACCTGCCCAAGGTCACACTGTAACTCAATCTTTTATACTTTGGATTTTATTTTTTAATTTGTTTTTTTGGAAACAGAGTCTCATTCAGTCACCCTGGGGTTTAGTGCCATGTTGTCAAACTTCACAACAACCTCAAACTCTTGGGCTCAAGTGATACTCTTGCCTCAGCCTCCCAAGTAGCTAGTACTACAGGTGCCTTGCCACAATGCCTGGATCTTTTTTAGAGACAAGGTCTCGCTCTTGCTCAGGCTGGTCTCGAACTCCTGAGCTCAAGCAATCCATGCACCTCGGTCTCTCAGAATGCTAGGATTACAGAAGCCACTGCGCCCGGCCCCTTTATTGGGTTTTAAAAGAGCATCAACTTGAGTGGCTTCTGGGGTGTGTGGAGAGAGTGAAGAGGGCAGGTCAAGAGAAAGCTTTGCCTTCTCCATTCTATTTTCACTACTGAGGAGGGCAAGGTCTAGGGTTTGCCACATCTGGCATTTCCTGAAGGACTTCTCTCCACCCCTATCCCCACAGGGTCCAGAACCAAGTGAATGCTAGATTTGACCTCATTTTCCCTCTGTGGGTCTCAGTTTCCCCAAGTGTAAGATGGAAATTGTGATCCTTGCTATTTCTCAGGGCTGTGATAAGGATTAGATTAAATGCCAATCTTACATGGGAGTTCCCTGGCTCCTCTGAGTCAGGTTATTAACTGTGGAGAACTGGTGTGGGGCTTTTCTTTAACTTTTCCTGGAGTATAGTATCTGAGTGGTGAGCGGTACAAGTGGGGAAACTGAGTCACTTGCTGCTCTGGTGGAGCTCCCCAGGTAAGTAAGACCACATAGAACTAAAGATTGAGCTTCAGTTGTCTGTAGAAATCCCAATGCAGTAGTGGGGTCTGCAAACTCTGGCTCACTTTGGCCTCCTGTTCCCTAGGCTGCTGGCCGGTGACTTAAGGAAGGGCTTATATCCCAGGCAGGGTCGTTAGAGCAAAGTCCCAGGGCTCCACCCTCACCCTGGACCCACTTGGCCCCTCCCTCAGTCCCTTGCCAACTCCCTATCCAGGCTACAACTCCTGGGGCTATCACTTCCCCTCTGAGGACCTCCCGGGTTTCCCCTTGAAGACAAATTATTAATACAAGCCAATTCAAGCCGTTTTGGTGTTGAAAGGCACTTTTCAAATGTTGTGCGAAGAGGCAATAAAGTATACGTGTGGCTTTGAAGTCAGAGGCTAGGTAGACTAAATTTCACTCGTGCAGGTGGTAGTTTCCCGACTGCAAGGTAGTGCTAGTAATAATAATAAGGATAAATAATAATAATTAAAATGAATGGCAATGGGATTAGACGTTAAATCAGGGTGCACAGACCCCGACTGAGCCACCCATTAGGTAAACGCTCAGTCAACAGCAGCTACAGAGGGTATCAGCGCTCCCTGTCTTCAGGAATTAGGAAGGGGAAACTGAGGCCCGGAGCTTGCCCAGGCAGCTGGTCGCGCCAGCCAGCTCTCCCCGCTGCGCGGGCGCCTACTGTGTGCAGCGGGCAGTCAGCTGGGCCGGGTCAGGATGTTCTCACCGCTTGTCCCCTCCTTCCCCTCCCCCGTCCCCCGCCGGACCTCTCCCACGACCGAGGAGGAAGTGGGAGAAATGGACAGGGAAAAAAAAGTTGCGCCGAGCCAACGCCTGCCCATTCCCCACCGCCACCCCTCCGGACCCACGGAGACCTTTGCGGGAGCAACCCGCAGCTCGGCGGGCGCACTTGGAAAGCCTAGAAAACAACCGCCCTCCCCACCCCTCGCCAACCCCTTCCCCCGCTAGGCCCTGGCGCAGCGGGTGGAGGCGACTCTTTTATATAATCGCGGGAGGGCAGGTTGATGTTTCACGTTAGGGACCCGAGAGCCTAGCGGACCTGAGCCCGTCCCTGGCAAACCTGCTCGCGGGTCCTTAGCGCGGCTGGGCAAACGGAGGCCCCAGGAGGGCCGGCGTCTGGCCCGGGGGGTCCTCACGCCCTCGCCCCCCACCTACTCCCAGCAGCCCGGGCACTGCGACCCACGCCCGCTTTGGTCCTCGCAGTCCGCACGGCGCTCCCCGCCCCCGCTGCCATCCTGCCACGCCCCAGGCGTCGGGGGCAAAGCCCGCGCCCCCCCGCACCCCTCCCCTGCGCAGAGGCTGGGGGCCTGTTTATCTGGAGGCTCCCACCCCCCTCCACCCCGGGGGGCCCGCTCCCCCCGCGCCCCGGGGAGCTCTGGGGCCAGATAAGCTGGCAAGCTGGCACTGCGCCGCACGGCGGGTTTGAGAGGTCAGAGGAGGGGGGGCGTGCTGGGGGCGGGCTGGACCCCCCCCTCAACTTGACAAAACCTAATAACAGCCCGGTCTCCCCGGCGCGGCGGGCGAAGCCCCACGGGAGGGCAGAGACGTGGCAAGAGGGGACCTGCTGAGCCTGTTCTGGCCTCCGAGGCCGGGGTGGGGGGGGCGGGCTGGGCGTGGGGGGGAGGCCGGCGGCTGCGGCACCTTTAAGACAAGGGAGGACCCCTCTTGCCCTCGGAGAAACCAGGAAGGGAGTCGCGAGCATCATACGGGGCTTTGGCTGTACTGTACAGTTACTGTAGGGGCAGTGACGCCGCCGCCGCCGGAGCCAGGGAGCGACGAGCGGAGCGCTAGGAGGGGAGAGCAAGCGACACGGACCCCGGAGGCGAGCGGCCCAGGGAGCCCAGTCCCAACTCCGGGCCCGGTCCCACGCGCCCCGGCCCGGCCCGGCCCCGCGAGGTCAGTGCGCGCCTAGCGCGGCCCCCGGCGCGGGCTGCAGGGCGGGGACGGGCGGGGGGCGCTGCGTCCATCCTGCCCTCCCAGTAAGGGGAGATCTGGGGTCCTTCCCCAAGTTTTCGAGAAGGGGGTGGTTGGCAGCTGCCAGGAGGCTGGAGGCGCCCTGGATCTCGGGCTCGGGGAGGGGGCGCCACCTGGGAAGGGAGATTGGGGGGAAAGTGCACGGGCTTGTGCGCCAGTCACCCCCCCCCCCACCGGGTGCATGGCTTTTCGGGGCTCCCAGGCGCGCGGGTAGCGGGGGAGGGGAAGCGGGGCTGCACTGAGGGTAGGGGGAGCCGGCGTGGGGAGATAGGGGGGCGCGTCGCTTGCTAAGTTTGCAGCTGGGTACGGGGGGCGCTCTCGCCCCCCGGGGGCCTATTTGGTGCTGCGTGCATACGTTGGAGTTGGCCGGGATTGAGCTCCATGGGGGATGGGGGGGAGGGGGGCTGAAAAAACAGGGAGGGGGCTTTGCGAAGGTGGGGGAAGGGGTGGGGTGTCCGGGTGGGCGGGCGGAGCCGCACAGTCTTTTGGGAGTCGTAGTCCCATCGCCGCTTACGGTAGGCAGGTGGCGGGCAGCGCGGACTACAAGTCCCAGGCTGCCCCGCGACGGCAGCCTGCCGCGGCCCGCGGGTAGGGGCGGTGCGGAGGAGGGGCGGTGAGCGGCGGGCCGGCAAGCCAATGGGCGCGGGCCGATCGCACGGCGCGGCGCGGGGGCGGAGCCAGCCGGCCTAGGGGCGGGGCCTGGAGCCGGGCTCCCCTCGCCGGGGGCCGGTGGCGGTCCCCGGCTTCCGGCTGCGCGGCCTGCGGGCCGGCCCCCTCCCCGCCCCGGGGCCCCTCCCTGCCTGGTTGTGTAACCGTCCCCAGCCCCCTCCCCTCAGCCCCCCACCCCGGGGGGAGGGTGACCCTCCCGGCGCTCCCCGGGGAGGGCGGCAGCCGGGGCGGACTCGCGGCGCAGGCGAGCCCGGGGATGCGCGGCCTAACGCAGGCCGGGCCCGGGCGTGGGGGAGGCGGGCGGGCGGACCCAGATCCGGGGTAATTTGCATCGCCCTCCCCCCAGCCCGGGTGGGGATT